TATAATATGTCTTAACATAACATTATATAACACTTAGCATATAATATGTCTAATAAAATAAAAAAAAAAAAACATTCCATATAAAAGAACTTTCTCAAATTATGTTTATAAATTTATAAGACACCATGCAACATAACAATCATAAAGAAATTAACGTTACATTTTAAAATGACAAAAACATTAATTTGAAGAATTTGTAGATGCAAGCCATGCACTGATATTTAATTAAGTTCCAAAGAGCTTGGAAATAAAAATGGGATTGAACAAAACTTTTAAATATATACAAAAATGTAATGTATAATATTATTCATCCACTTAGTCAATTTTCCAATTAAAACATTTATCCAAAAATTTTTTTTAATTGTTGCATGCCACAGCTCATTGCATTTATGACCCCTCATAAAATTTGAGACAAATCGTAAGTTACCACTCACTTTCTTCCTCAAATTTGTATAATTCTACTTCAAACATCTAATATCATTTACCTTCAGTACTGCCACTCATGACATTTTTCACCGACATTATGCAATTTGCAATGAGTTTCAACAAGATTTTGGATTTTAAACACTTGTAGAACTTATTTCTTCAGATATCTTTACTCAAATAATAATAAGTACAATGAAGAATAGCTACAACAAACAGTATTTTATAATCATTATATAAATAAAAAAAGGTTGTTTTCCTTCACTCCTATTTTCATAACCAAGCTCCTTACATATTAATGTGAAAATAGCCTCTATACAACTTGAAATTAGATAAATTAAACATGCATAAATTAATAGCATAAAATAAATAACCATATTCTGCCTTCCCAGTTTTCAGGTTCAAGAGCAGCACTTATCCTGTGTATGCATGAAAATACATAGAGGATAAATTTACTTTTATTGAAGAGCATAAATGGTCATTTTTGACTATCATATAAATTTTTAAAAAACAGAATATTCAGTGATATTATTGAAAAATTTAAGTTTGACACTTAAAGCTGAATATTTTTAACATTGTGGCTGGTGGCAGCAGTATATTTAAGAAATAATTGTAGTTTTTAAAGCACACTTTGAAAATAGTAACAATTTGAAGCACTCCATTTCAAAAAATGCTACAACCCAATATTTCAAATAATGAAAATTCAAATAGTTTAAACACGCACACATCTTTATAACATAGTGAGAATTTACACTGGAGTTTTATAACTTCAAACAGCATCACTGGTCGTCTTGAAACAATCATAATGACTTAATTTCAAGTTAAATATCATCTCAGTTTTGATACACATTAATAAATTTATTACAGAAAATGCAAAATGTTTTTGAATAAAAAATTTTATATAGATGGAAAATGCATAATTAAAATGAAAAAATAGCCTAGAAGTATAGAAAAAATGTGTATCAATTATTTGAATTAAAAATCAACTTTTCATCACTCTTGTACTACACAGCTTAATTTTTTTCTTTTTACAACTGCAAATATTTGGACTTGTTAAGCATTATATTCTTTTATGAGCTATTTAATATTTTTACCAATATTATTACAGGTTACTTCTATAGAATTTACATTTCTAAAAATTTTTAATAATTATCCCACATTTTGACATATTTTTGAGCAAAAGTAATAGAAATGACTTGTTTCCGAGCTTGAAATAAGATGTATGTGAATGTAGCTAATACTGTTTATAAAAAAATCTAACAACCTTTTTATTAAGTAAGAGTCGCGTAAGCAGAATTTTATATTTTTATAGCAGTTTAGTCCAGTATACAAGCCACCACAAGGGTGAAATATGAAGGAATTAGAACCAAGATTGAATTTTGCTTTAGGGTTTACGATGGCACAATCAATGAAATTTAAAAAAAAAAAAAAAAAAAGCTGATGTGTACACCACATGACTTCCTTGTACGAAATATTAAATAAATTATATGCATCTTTTCTTGCATTTCATTTAAACTTATTGGATTGAATTAAATCTACTTCGTCGATAGCACATAAACACAATAAATAAATGCACTCTTTACAATTTAAATATTTGTTTACCATAGCGACATTGGCACTAGGTTCAATTAAACACATTATATTTCGTTCATATTATCACTCAAATGCACAAATTATATTATTTGAAGAATCTAATCGTTGCCACAGTTCTATCAATACTAAACAAATCTCGAACAATGTATAAAAGAATTAAGCAAAAAAAACAAAAAGAAGCAGTTTTTCACAGACAGTCAGTATTTCTCATTCACTAATTTAGTTCTTACTTCATGACAAGGCAAAAATACAAACCCAAAATCTATATTAAAATTACAAGTAAATCTTAAAATTTTCCTCGAAAAATTCCAGAAAGATTAGGCATGATTAATTCACAATAATATGAAGACGTTATCTTGTTGCTGAGAAGCTTAGTCTCTAGATTGGCAACAAATTTACTATTCTGCTGTTTCAAATGTTAAACAACATGTCCGCTACGTTATTTAAAAATTAAGCTAGCCGTACGAAACATTTTTAAATGTTGATAATTCTACGAAATATTGCTGCAGATTTCTAAAGGCATAAAAGCCTTAACCGAAGATAAAAACAACATAATTCAATCATTTTTATAGCAAAAAATGCACAATTTAAAAGCATATAAGAGTAAAAAAAACGTGATCACTGAGCCGGGTAAACAAGTGGATTAGATATATAAATATATTTATACGTTTGGTGTGGCCGATTGCAACCAAATACGGGTGAACATCTACATGTTATAGCGTCCTATATAAAAAATTTCAAAGTTCTGAGGCTAACTGTTTTTGAGTTATCTGAGATACGTAGTACAATAGATACCACGAAAAATTCTTTCAGAATTCATTTTAAAGCAGTTTTATAATTTTTGGAGCGAAAAGATATTTTATTCTGGCGTTACGCAGATGTCACGCAAAAATAAAGCGTTAAAAGAGGATAGCAGTCAAAATGGATATTTTTGTTGAAATATGCTGCCTGAAACTTTTCGCAATTACAATACTTCCTTTTACTCCGTACAAACATGTATTCTAGTTGATTGGTATATATTAATTATTCAACAGCGCACAAAATAAACTACAAGGAAGAGACACCAGGTTCACTGAAGCTAGAAAGATAATTGATTGTCATTCTTACAGCAGCTTTTTTTATATCAACACTGAGTTCAGATTAATTTCATTAGTTTGATAACTTAATGTTGTAGGATCTTAGTTTTACTAACGTTATTTTATTTTAATCTTTACTATCACTTCTATTTCTCTTCCGGCCAGAATTATAAGCGTGAAGGATTTTATGCAAAGTTGTCTGGCGAACGCCAAGTATTTTAAGTGTGCCTTTTTGCCAAGCAGGAGAGAGGAAGCATTGAGTTTCGAGCAGGCCGCTTACCTTAGAAGTTACGCAGTTGCTATTTGCCTCCAGGCCAGAGTTTTAATCCTCTGATAAATTAAACGTATTGTAGTGTTCACAGTCTCTGTGCTAATAGCTTCCTGTTATATAAGGCCAATCTTATTCTAAAGTTCAATTAGAGTTTTTTAGTTTTATTTTTTATTACCTTACCTTAGACCCCGAGTGGAGGGTCATTGTTCGAAGCGGAAGTCATTGTATATAAAGAAAAATAAAGGGTCTTGTATACCCTTCTCTGTATCTGTCTATTACTACAATTAGTGAAATAGCTTTAGTAACTCTCTTCCTAGTCAGGTCATTGTATGTTTCCGAAGAAGGTTAGAAGAAACATTGAACCTGATAATGTAACTGTCCATTGTTGAAACAGTTTGTACTTCCTTAGAAAATATACCGTTACAAAAAAGCCACTTGTAAAATTAGAAAGAAGATTTGAATGCTCTCTTCCAAAACACTGAAAATCTGAAAGTGTCAGTATGACTCGGAGAACTGCTGAAATGTGATATATCTGATCTTGATATTACAGTGCAAAAAAAAGTTGATTACACTGAAGGAGGATATTCAGGAGTCTCATCAAAAGGAGGATGAATGAATTGAAACACATGGATATGCTTAAGTTTTGGAATTTAAATTTCATCCGAAAGATAAATCTCAAAATAAAAGTTATTACCAAATAACACTATTGACTTTTCTCTCTTCTTAGCTAGTCAAAGCAGGCTTTGGTCAAATCAACTGACTAGGAAAATCAAAAAACATGAATACTTTTGAATAAGGTGATTTAAGAATTAGATTAAGCAAATTAAAGTCAAATATTAAAAAAATTGCACCAAAACATTAAGTGCAGTCATCACATTAATTAAAATTGAATTTCTATGCAATTAGAATCTGTGATTTTGCTTCTGAAAACTTGTTTATATTTCTAAAATAAAAAATAACAAAATATAAATCAAGTAAGCCCCTTTTTTCAAAATATTGCTGTCTAATTGTTGTAAATTATTGTTTAATTGTTGCCTCTGCCTGCGAGTACAAAATTCATAAAAGTGTGTTTAAAAAAAAAGTATACTTTTTCTTGCTGTACAATCGCAGTTGACACCCAGTTTCTGCCTACATAATAAGAATATTTCGAATGTATATTCAAGATAAAAGGATAATGCATTATTCACAGATCCCATGTTTGGAAGGTTAAGTTAGTCATGTGCAATTACTTGCATTATGATTATGTTGAATGCTGTATAATACTGAGAAAAATGTAAAACATGAAAGGGGTTGAAGGAAGAAAAGAGTTGGGAATACCTGGTCCCATGTATGAATGGTAATTAGACAGGATAGTTAAGGTCTAAATATCTGAACATTAATTATAGTGTAAAAAATTTGTTATAAAAATACATTAACAGCTTCTAGTATTAAATAAGAATTACGATTCTAAACACAATTTTTAACAAATTTGTGCAACCCATAATGCAGAATTGATTATTTTACAAAAAGTATAAAATGCAAATGATTCTGAGGCACATTAAATTAAAAGATAAAAATTACACTTATTTTTAACAGAAATATTTTGACAATGATCAACACAGAATTAATTTGATAATTATAAAAAAACTTAAACATACCTTAATATATGGTCTTCTTTCATAGTTAATTCATCATCTTCATATATTATTTTACTTGTAGTAGTTGTAACTACAACACCATCTACCATAAATTTTCTTGTTTTTTTCAAAGTTTTTGGACGAGGTGCTTTAGGTTTCACAGCAACTCCGTTTAGTTTTCTAGATGCTAAATTATTTGTGTATTCCTAGAAAACAAACAAACAAACAAACAAAAAAAAAAAAAAACTTCATTAGTTTTTTGAAATGATGTTCTAATGTAAAATAAAATTTTAAAAAAGAAGAGCTGGCATACTGCTTTACAAACTATCAAAGCAGAAAATATATAGTATTCTTCCTTTATTAAGAAATAACAAGATAAGAATGACATGACGGAAATCATGCTACTGGAACCATCTATTGATGAAAAATGAAAACAACTAAGAAATAATTTCCTTAAAAGCTGAGGGTAAAGACAGATTGAAAATGGGATCCTTAACTAGGACTGAAAGATTTTTATGAATATGAAATGCCTCTAAAAAATAATTCACTAACAGATGATATTTTTTGAGTAACTTTGGCTGCAGAAAAATAGAAAATAAGATTTTCTGACTAACAGTATCAGGCAGCAGAGAATTTATTTTTTCCTAATATACGTACCATGTTCCTTAGTGGAACATTTTAAAGCTCTCTTAGTTTGATGAACGTAAATTAAAGCTACATTGGAAAGGAATCCTATACAGTCAAAAGTCTTTAATCCAGACTCGTCGGGACTTCGGTGATTCCGGATTATAGATCATCAGTTTAAATCTGGTAAGATGGCATGCAGAAATTATAAAATTAAAAATATGAAACCGTAATTTATGAAATAAAGAGCAATTATGATCTAAAGGGTATCAAAATTTACAAAAAAAAAAAAAAGCTTAATATTTATTTGTTTACTTTATTAAACATTTCTTTCAACATGCACATGCGTAAAGCATACATTACACATAGTCGAAATTAGAAAATTGCAACCAGAAAACTATTTGATGTGTATTCGTGATATTTATAATGACGAGGAATTTGATTTAAATCATATCAAGACAGAGTACATCGAGATGAAATACTACATTTAGTAAGGAATTATAAGCCGAATAAAATAAAAACATCTGCCCTGAAGATAAGGATAGTGCTGACAGATCAACTTTCAGTTCATTGCACGCTACAACGTTTTCCCCCTCCCCCCACAGAACAGTGTGAAATTGATCAACAGATTTCGTAATGGTTAGAGAAACAAAGGATATGCCTTTACCCATTTTTTGCAGCAGTTCCATTTTTTGTTTGATGGACATCGAAACATGCTTTCGCTTTGTAGATCCTCGGCAGCTCCAGAATCTAAATTCTTTTTGACATAATCGAAGTTCAAGCTTACTTTTATAAAATTGCTATAACAGTCTGCAAAAAATAATAAGCCCGATCCAATTCGAAGTTTAAAGAACAACGCAATCTGCAACATTAACTGAAATAGATAATTAGCTAATTTTAGCTTAGCTTATACTGTCTGTTATACATTAAATGCGCATGCGTAAACGTATAAGGCACATGTGCGCATGCGTAAAAGCATTACTCGCATGCGTAAACACCTATGCACATGCGTGAACGCATTATGCGTTGACGCATCCGCAGAAAGTTTGTAGCTTTGAGGTCCGGATTATAGATCATCCCGGATTATGGGTGTCCGGATTAACGACTTTTGACTGTAATTCATTGCACGCCGCGACATTTGTTGCGTGTCAAGGACGGGAAGATAATTGGATGTCTTGAGTACAAAAGTTATCTGAAATGGCAGGATCACTAGATTCATTACTGAAAGAACTTTATTTAAATCACCTTTATTACCATCAAAGAAAGTAAAGGATCTTCAATGCACGGAATCATGAGAAGAAGCTTAAAACTACAAGCAATTTTGATTCATAATAATGCATGCGGATATCAGCATGAATAGGACTAAAAAGCCTTCCCATGGCTACTCCCTTTGTCTGCTTGTAATATTTCTTTTGGAAAACAAAATGTTTTTGTTTCAGCCAGAGTGCAGTAAGGGAAATTAATTCATCAGTTTAGCTACAAGAGAAATGAAATTCTCGAAGTTTCATTTTGAGACATTTAAGCACATCTTCCAATGGAACACCAGTGAATAATGATTTTAGGGCAAAAGAAACCACCAGGAATTTTAAAGGGAAAATGCTTTTTACTTTCTTCTAAACTCTGAATTTTTTATGGTGCATATAGCATTAACTGACAGATATGATGTGGTGTAGTGGCCGAAACCGCTACACAAACCCAGGGTTGAAAATTCGAACTCAAATTTTAACAATAACATTAATTTTAACAAAATGAAAACCTTAACAGTTGCATATCTTGACAATATGGGATAAATTTAGTCCCGTAATTTCTGAATTTTGTTACATGAAAAATGCTCTAACGCATTATACACGAGGAATGATTGTGTATAATGCGATCATGCCCATAGCTCTAAATAGGAAATTTTCTTCTCTTCTCAGGAAACCACTTTATATATCTCCCTGTGTTTAATTGCGCTGAACTCCCGAGGGAGAAATGATTCTTTCACTCATACCTAACAAAGTGTCTATCTCCTGACCCTAATGAAAAGACTTCTTTTACTTCTTTGTCCACTGGAGTGACCCTAGAGGCTGCAACCAGAATCATTAACAAAGGCACAGAATTGCACCACTAATATGAAAACTATTGCACTCTGAAATCACTCATCCTAGACAAAGAACCTTTATGCCACCTTATCACAACTCCTCCCCTCATAGAAGAATTTTCCTAGACTATGGTAGGGAAAATTCTAACTACTTTTGACCGCTTTCAGAACCCAAGTGGTAACCATTTAAGTGATAATAGAAAAGCCAGTTACATTACCCTGCACTTATTTCTAGATAACATCACATTGAGACAGATAAACATAAAAACAAGAATACAATAAAAATAATTTAAACTACTCCTAATGTCTGCCTCACACAAAGTACATGCCTCAAATTTTACAAAATCTAATACTGAAGATAACGATAAAACATTCAATTCTAACAATTTTGAAAATAAAACACACGATGCAAACAATTTTGAATCTACAAAAATATAATTCCAAAATGCTACAAAAATCATTTTCACCAATTTTCAGTTGCATTGTATCCCACTAGTGATGTTTAGTCACTTGACTAAGGCCCGACTCAAGCCATCTGCATTACCGTGTAATTTGCCTGGCCCATGAACAATTTCAAAGTTGTACTGTTGGAGACACAATGCCCACCGAGTCAAACAAGAATTTGATCCCATCATTTTGTTTTAAAGAGTCAAAGGATTATGATCCACCTGGATCTTGAATTTTTGTCCATCTAAGTAATGATTTAGTTTCTTCGGTCCATAAATAATGGTCACTAGTTCTTTTTCAATAGTGCTATAATTTCACTCTGCTTTAGAAAACTTTTTGCTAAGATACAATTCCTCCCTAGCCTGAATTTGAGACTTCATAATACCTGCACCATATAAACTGGCATCCGTTTGCACAATAAATTCTTAATAATCTTAAATATAATTAATTCTTAATAATCTAAAATAATCTGGTGCAAATAAAACCAGACTTTTTACTAATTTGGTCTTCAGTTCATTGAAAGCCTCGTCGCACTCTTTTGTCCAAATCACTTTTCCTTTTTTGCATTTGCCCTTAAAAGTGTCTGTCAGAGGTACCGCAATACGCACATATTCTTTTATGTACCTTGCGTAGTAGCCTACAGAACCAAGGTAGCTACATATCTGTGTTTTAGTAGAGGGGGTCATAAAATCACTGATTGCTTGAATCTTGGCCTCACTAGGCAACCTTTTCCTAGACCCTACTTCATGACCCAGAAATTTCACATGGTCTTGGGCAAATTTGCATTTTGAAGGTTTAACAGTCAATTTAGCCTCCTGAAGGCGACCTAAAATCACATCCAAATCCTTCATATGCCTGTCCCAAGTCGGCGAAAGGACTGTAGTGTCGTCAATATACGGTAGAGGCTTCACCACGCGAACTGTCCTTGCACACAAATTAGATCGTTCTTGTGCAGAGAAGAAAGTCTTGACTGCTCAGATAATATCCTTTACAGTACTGCCTTTTCTGGAACTTCCATTTGACGATTCGGAACACTCACACGACGAGATGTACGGGAAAATAACGTACGATGTTAACTAAGGTCCACAGTCAAAAAGTTCGTTTCTAAATTTACTCTTAGGAACAATCCTAACCGCTGCCACCAATTTTAATATTACTGCTGTGGTGTAGTGGCTGAAAATGCTACGCAAACCCTGGGTTGTGATACAGGGTAAATGTACATCAAACTCAAGTTTTAACAATAACATGAATTTTAATAAGACAAAAACTTTAACAGTTGCATATCTTGACAATATGGGACTTGGATATATTTAGCCTCGTAATTTCAGAATTTTGTTACAGGAAAAATGCTCTAACGCATTATACATGAGGAATAATCGTGTATAATGGGATCATGCCCATAGCTTTAAACAGGAAATTTTCTTCTCTTCTCAGGAAACCACCTTATATATGCAACTTTTATGGCTTGCAGCAATTGAAGATATTCTATTTAAATCTTCTTTATCGCTGTCAAACAATTAATCGTTTCACAAAATTAAACCTGAAATGACAGAAATTTCTAAATCACCTTAATTTTTTATGAAAGTGTAACCATAAGAAATTGATTCTCAATTTCATTCAGAGTAAGCATAATCAAAAACTTTCTAGTTGTGTTCAAAAAAATTATTCTAAATTGCAAACTTGCCCTGCTTAGGTCCATCAAAAAGGACACACGTTGATAGTTATCCAAAACTATACTACATAAGCTTTATCTGGAACTTGTTAATTCATATACAAAATTCACTGCCAACAAAAGTCTGGTCTAGAATCAAGAATGTAATTAAATGTCATAAAATGACCCTTGTACTTAAATTCCAAAACCTTCTTTCACAGTATTCCAATTTTTTTTTTTTTTTTTAATTTTCCCATTGTAAGCACAAGCCAATAGTTAATATTTCTAATGTTGGTTTATCACAGTAATAAGAGAGAATCCTGAAACAGAATTTTCACTTCCCCAAAATCTTAAATTCCAAAAATTTTTGCTTAACAATACTCAAACAATAAATACGCTGTCAA